CAAATGTATTGATTTTCTTTCCAGATTATTTTTGTGATTATAGAAACAGTACATGCTCATTGATTGTAAAAACCAATCATTGAAAACAGATCCACACGAAAACCTGCCCACTGGACGTTTATAGCAGCTTTATTCATAATTGCTAAAACTTGGAAGCAACCAAAATGTCCTTCAGTAGATGAATATACATCCAGACAATGGAATATTATTCAATGCTAAAAAGAAATGAACTATCAAGCCCCAAAAAGGCAGAGAAACCTTAATATTACTGAATGAAAGAAGCCAATGTGAAGAGGTTACATACTGTATGATTCCAACTGTATGATAGTCTGGAAAAGGCAAAACTATGGAGACAGTAAAAAGATCAGGTGTTCAGGGGGGAGGGAAGGATGAATAGGTGGAACACAGGATTTTTAGGGCAGTGAAACTAGTCTGTATGACACAAAAGGGTGGATACACTTCAAACGTTTGTCCAAACCCACAGAATGGACAATACCAAGAGTAACCCCTAATTTGTCAGTGTAGGTTCATCAGCTGCAACAAATGTCCCACTCTAATAGGGGATGTTGATAGTGGGGGAGGCTGTGCATGTTGGGGGGAAGGGAGTATATGGAAATCTCTGCTTCCTCCTAATTTTGCTATGAACTTAAAATTGCTCTAAAAAAATGAAATTTAACAAAAACAAGAAAAGGATAATCTGAAAAATTATAGCCAAGGAGACATGACAACTAAATGTAATGTGGGATCCTGGAACAGAAGAGGACATTAGGTGAAAACCAAATAAATCTAAATTAAGTATACTTTAGGTAATGTATCAATATTGGTTTGTTGGTTTGTTAATGGTGACAAATATACTAACTTAAAATGTTGAGAGTAGGGGAAGCTAGGTGTGGAGTATATGGGAATTCTCTGCAATTTTTCTGTAAATCTAAAACTTCTTTAAAAGTTTATTTTTAAAAATGTACACCTTATTTATCAAACACCTTCATAATTACTACCCAGGGTAAAAAAATAAAACACTGCCTCATGTTCTCTTCAATCATCATTTTCCTCAAATGTTACTACCGTTTTTTTTAAAGATTTTATTTATTTGAGAGAGCACAAGTGGGGGGTCGGGCTGGGGGGCAGGGAGAGGGAGAAGCAGATTCCCTGCCATTGGGAGCCTGACTTGGGGCTCGATCCCAGGACCCCAGGATCATGACCTGAGCCAAAGGCAGATGCTTAACCAACTGAGCCACCCAGGTGCCCCATAACTACCTATTATGTCTAAAATTTTAGTCTGTTTTTTAACTTTATATAAATTGAATATGTTGTCAAGATGCATCCATGTTTCATCTAGTTGAAACCCATTTTCATTGCTATATATTCTATTATAGGAATATACTGTAATTTATATTACTGTTAATGAGCATCTTTGATTGTGACTACTTGAGCCTCTTGCCCTCTTATCTATTTATTATTGATTTGCTACCTTTGTCATAGATTGTGTCCAATATATGTGTCTATTTCTGCCTGTTTATTCCCACTAGCCTTGTGGGTTTTCCTTATGCTAGTACCACATTGTGTTACTACATTCTTGATGTTGGTGTTGTAAATGCTCCCACCTTTTTTTCCTACAAGAGTATTGTGTCTATTCTTGGTCCTTTGCATTTGCATGTACAGTTTACAGTCAGTTTAAGACCCTCAAAAAGCCATCACCAATTCAAAAAAACAACTGTTGGGATTTTACTGGAATCGCATCAAATGTATAGGCCAATCTGGGAAAGATTGATTGTAAAAGCTATTTTATCTTTTGTCTGTACACGTGGTATATTTCTCCATTTATTTAGTTTCTCAGTAATTTGGGGTTTTCAATGTTAGAGGTCTTATGTAATTTATTTAGATTTATTCTTAAGCATTTGATACTTTTCTCTGAAGCCACTGGAAGTAAAGCTGTTAGTTTCATTTGTTTGCTGATAAAATACGACTGACTTCTATATTTGACCTTGCATTCAGCAGCCTTCCTAAACTTATTTAATTTTAAAGGTTCATCTGTAGATTCTTTCGGATTTTCAGTTTTGAATTAATGTCTCATTCCATTTTTCATAGGAAAAGCTTTCAACATTTCACTATTGTCTTAGTTGGACCGCTATAACAGAAATACTATAGCCTGGGTGGCTTAAACAATTTATTTCTCACAGTTCCCAAGGCTGGTAAGTTCAAGATCAAGGCACTGGCAGATCCAGGGCCTGGGGAGAGCCCACTTCCTGCCTTGCAGCCTTGCTGCATCCTCTCGGGGCAGAGTTCATCTCTCCGTCAAGGACACTAAGTCCACTCCTGAGGGCTCCACCTTCATGACCTAATCACCTTCCAGATACCATCACATTAGGGATTGGTTAGGTTCAACATGAATTTTAGGGGGACATGAACTTTCTATAACTATAAAATGTTAACTATAGCTTGTTAGATGTAAACACACTTACGTTAAGGAAGCTCCTGCTCTCTGTTCCTAGGTTTCTAAGAGGTTTTATTTTTATTTTCTAAGCTTTCAAACGTCTTTAACTGGATTTTATCAAAATTTTTCTTCTTTGGAGATCACTGAATTTTCTTCATTGGGCGAATATGATGATTACATTGTTCTTTGAATGTTAAGTCAACCTAGTCTCGCCGAAATAATCTCAACCTGGCCTTGAAGTTTTTAGGTTACTGGTTTTGGTTTACTAATACTTGGGGTTGTTTTCAGCTGTTCATGAACGAGATTGGTATCAGGATATGTGCTGTTTCCTTTTCTCATTTATGATGCCTTTTTTACTCTAATGATTCTTGCTAAGGCGCTTATGAATTTTATTTGTATTTTCAAAGACAACTTTTGGCATTGTTGATCCTATCTATTATAGGTTTGTTTTCTGTTTTCTATGGCAGATTTTGTTTTTAAATATATGCTCATTTCCTTTTATTGGGAGTTTTGTTTTTCCTATATACTTAGCTTGACAATTTTTCAAGGTTTTAATAGCATTTAAGACTATAAATCTCTATAAAGCACAACTTTAGCTGCACCCTCAAGTTTTTATATATAGTATATGATTATTTAAAAATCTCTTTTAGGGGTGCCTGGGTGGCTCAGTCGTTAAGCCTCTCCCTTCCGCTCAGGTCTTGATCCCAGGGTCCTGGGATGGAGCCCCACATTGGGCTCCCTGCTAGCGGAGAGCCTGCTTCTCCCTCTCCCTCTGCTGCTCCCCCTGCTTGTGCTGTCAAATAAATAAAATCTTTAAAAAATAAAAATTTTTAAAAAATGAAAAATTTGCTAGGGGCGCCTGGGTGGCTTGGTCATTTAAGTGTACGACGCTTGGTTTCAGCTCAAGTCGTGATCTCAGGGTTGTAGGATCAAGCCCCGAATCTGGCTCTGCGCTCAGTAGGGAGTCTGCTTGAGGATTCTCTCTCTCCCTCTGTCCTTACCCCTTCTCTCTCTCAAATAAGTAAATCTTTTTTAAAAAAAATCTAATTTTGGGCGCCTGGGTGGCTCAGTTGGTTAAGCAACTGCCTTCGGCTCAGGTCATGATCCCTGGGTCCTGGGATCGAGTCCCACATCGGGCTCCCGGCTCGGCAGGAAGCCTGCTTCTCCCTCTCCCACTCCCCCTGCTTGTGTTCCTGCTCTTGCTGTCTCTGTCTCTGTCAAATAAATAAATAAAATCTTTATTAAAAAAAATCTAATTTTATTTTAATCAACAAATTGTGGATTAAGTAGGAACCAGGAGGCAATAATCCACAATGTTTCTTGAGCAGCTACTGATCTCCATTTTCTAGAGGTGCAAACAGGCTCTTGACAGCCTTACCCTGATAGCAAAGGGAGATTTTCTGGGAGGTGAGAAAACTATTTGGGAGAAGCCTGTTTGGATTTGCCAATTACAATTAACTCAGCAAAAAGATTAGCCCTGCTGTATCCACCCAGTCACATTACTTTTCTGAGAATGAGGCAGATGGCCAAAAACAAGATAACATCTGAGACTTAAAGAGCAAGTTCCAGAACAAGGATAAAAAACTTTCTTGGTGTTGGCAGCAGATTGTCTGCAACTTTGTGTTGAGCCCCATCCAGACACAAAGTGGAAAGCACGCTGGGAACATTTTGCAGTGTCTGCCATTGACAAGTGCTGTGAATTTGCTGACCCAGTTCTTGGGCATTAGTTTGTTTCCATTTAGATATTCCAACTATAGCAACAGGAAACAAATTTCTCAAGGAAAAAAAAGTATTGGATTATGTATTAAAAAGAAAGCTGCAATTCATGAGAACGGACCAAGAGACACACTGCCTTGTCAACTTGGCAAACGTAATGAGATCATATAAAAGTCAAAGTGAGGGTAACTACATGTCAGCGTGCAAAATTGTATACGAGATTTTTCTATGACTCAGCTTTCAGTTTGCTTTAATGTCACTTTACTGGTGTGTTGATAGAAGATATACCCATTAGTAATCTGTACTATTGCTTGGTACAATCTTATTCTAAAAGGAACCTCCAGTGAATTCTAGAATTGTTTAAAGCTCAGCGTGTAACCGTTCCTCATCTGTCCAAGAAGTGACAGTAACTTTTAAAACTCTTTCTATAGTCAAGTCTTGCTGTATCACCTGGAGTCACAACCACAACTCATTAACTAAAAATGCCCAGGCGGGGGGCACCTGGGTGGCTCAGTTGGTTAAGTGTCCAATGCTTGATTTCGTCTCAGGTCATGATCTCAGGGTTCTGGGATCGAGCCCCATGAGTCTGCATCCGGCTCCATGCGCAGCAGGGAGTCTGCTGGAGATTCTCTCTCCCTCTCCCCACCCCACTCCTCCCTCTCTCTCAAATAAATAAATAAATCGTAAAAAAAAAAAAAAAAAATGCCCAGGTGGCTGTGGCACAGAGAAACTGCTGATTCAAATCACCCTCACTTTATAGGCCACGAGAAACTCACATTCACTCACATTCATTCAATACATTTAATGATGACACTCAAATTAATGACGTATAAAATAAGACACCTTCTGGTAACTGAAGTCTCCTTTATTCTAGATCATCCTATTAGAATTTTATTATTTTTACACCAGAACTATGAAATGCTTAAGACAGATTACTAAATAAAAAATAAAATAGGGATCTCAATGCAGAAAATACATTTAATAAATTAAAGCAAAAGCAAAGACCTGGGGAGATCCAAGAGAGCAAGACAAGCCTTAACCGAAAAAGCCTGTAAGTACCCAAGGAGCTAGTCTTTTGAGCCATGTTCTCTCAGCTTCTGGTGACCATATTTAGTAATAAGCACATCAGCCAAAAAAGGCCAGGAAAAAGTTTAATGGTTTAAAAACTAAGCAAACGTAGACTTGTATTGCGCAAAGTGCTAATTTCAATAGATCCATTAAAATAAAGAATTTTTGAGAAACCGTAATAAAAGTGATGGTCACTCAATCCAAATCGTTAGACATAGAGTTTATAGCATTGTATTATGCTAGTGTTTTAAATCTGTATAAACAAATTCAAATACTTAAGTAGCTAGTTTCTTAAACTTAACAGAAAACCTTCTACAATCTCAAATGCTTATCATTGTAAACATGTTAAGAAACATCATAAATAATTGTTTAAATGTTAACTAGGTGCTATGGTCCTAAAGCGGGTCACTTCAAAAAGCCTAATAATTCCAGCTTATCATAGTAACTATATAATGTATTACAGTAAACAGAACAGTTATATACATGAGCCAACGTAAAGCTCAGTAGTCATGAATATGAGGGGATCACTGGACATCTATTTCCAAAGCTTCCACGATGTGCGCAGCAGAAGGACGATCTTTAGGATCTTCATTAGTGCATACAGAAAAGAGTTCAATTACTTTCTGGTACGTTTCATCCAGTTCTTCCATATTAACAGGTGGCCTCGTCCCCAGAGCTGCATAGTATGCTTCATCGTCAAAGTCACTTTCATCAAAAGTTTTATCTGCTCAAGAAGGAGTTGACACAGAGTAACACTAAGTCAGGGAAAAGTTTAGCAACTGCTCGAACTCACCCTCCTGAAACAAGAACTCATCATCTGGGATGCTTTTCTTGATACACTGCGGTCTGCCATGGTGGAGATCAGCTATTGTCATGAACCCCGCCCCTCTTACTATTATAGCTCTCTAATCTTCTCCTCAGGCGAGGGGAGTTTCCAAGGAAACTTTCTGCTCTGCATCTCAATTTATCTCCCTATTGTCAATTAACCTACTCTCATTTGTAGGAGATTAAACTGAGATTGCACCAAATTAGTATTAATATAACCCATATCTCATGCACTAGATCAAACAACTTCCTCTTTTAAATTTTAACTTAATAGAAAGATGAAATAAAATTTTACCAGCTAATCTTTAGTTCAAACTGAAGAGATTGGGGTTTATGTTAAACATATGTAGTTATACCTTCATCATCATCATCTGGAAGATTAATGTGTGGAATAGACAAAGTCATCATTTCCCACAGGGTCAGGCCAAAGGCAAATATGTCTGCCTTGTCAGTAATAATACCATTCTCTTCCAAAGCTTCCTTGGGTTTCCAAGGCTCGGTGCCAATGTAACAGGCCTCGGGGTCAGTCACTGAAACAAAATACAAGGAAGCTGGTCCTTAGGGCAAGCACTAGAAATCACTAAGAAAGGCAAGCAACCCAAAGAAAACTGGATAAGTGATTTAACAGGTAGTTTAAAGGTTAATACGTGTAGGTAATAAACATGGAAATACACTCAATCTCATTAATAAGAATTACTTTTTCTTTATCAGATTGTAAAATATTCAAAAATCTGGCCAGTTGGCAAGGGTATAGAGAAACAGCACTTCTCTTAGAAGGTGGCAGGAATGAGGGCACCTGGATGGCTCAGTCAGTTAAGGGTCTGACTCTTGACTTCGGCTCAAGTCATGATCTCAGGGCCCCGGGATCAAGCCCCGAGTTGGGCTCCCTGCTCAGCGGGGAGGCTGCTTCAGATTCTCCCACTCCCTCTGCCCGTCACCTCTCTCTCCCTCTCTTAAAAAAAAAACCAAAAAACAAGAAAAGAAAAGAGGCAGGAATATAGATACCACAAAAGACCTCAAATAGCCAAAGCAATCTTGAGGAAAAAAAAGCTGAAGGTATCACAATTACAGAGTTCAAGGTCCACTACAAAGCTCTAGGAATCAAAACAGTATGGTACTGGCACCAAACTAGACACCCAGAGGAACAGAACGGAGCCCAGAAAGAAACCCAGGCTTATGTGGTCCATTAATCTGTGACAAAGGAGGCAATCAATAAATGGTGCTGGGAAAACTGGACACCTACATGCAGAAGAATGAAACTGGACCACTTTCTTATACCATCCACAAAAATAAACTCAAAATGGCTTAAAGACCTACATGTGAGACCTGAAACCATAAAACTCCTAAAAGAACACATAGGCAGTATTATCTTTGACATTGGCCTTAGCAACATTTTTCTAGACATGTCTCCTCAGGCAAGGGAAACAAAAGCAAAAATAAACTATTGGGACTACACCAAAACAACACACTTTTGTACAGTGACGGAAACCATCAGCAAAACGAAAGACAACCTACTGAATGGGAGACGATATTTGCAAATGATATATCTGATAAGGGGTGAGTATCCAAAATACATAAAGACTCATAAAACTCAACATAAAAAAAACAAACTATTGATTAAAAAAATGGCCAGAGAATCGGAACAGACATTTCTCCAAAAACGACACAGAGATGGCCAACAGGCACATGAAAAGATGGTCTTCATCACTCATCATGGGGAAACTGCAAATCAAAATCACAAGGTATCACCTCACACCAGTCAGAATAGCCAGTATCAAAAAGACAAGAAATGGCAAGTGCTGGTGAGGATGTAGAGAAAAGGAACCCTCGCGTACTACTGGTGGGAATGCAAATTGGTGCAGGCACTGTGGAAGAGAGTATGGAGGTTCCTCTAAAGTTTTGCAGTCTGTTCTGCTACAATAAATATTTTGCAACACAAATTAGTGCAGACACAATTAGGTATAAAAAGATCAATTTTTTTTCCCATTACCTGTTATTTTTAAATGATCGGAAGTAAACTTCCTCATAAAGAGAAAGCCTTATCCCAAGAGAATAAAAATGCTTTCTCTTAATGCATGGCTGGTTTAGCACCTTTAAAAACTGCTATGCTGACTATAACCTCAAATTGTCTCGTGAAGCTGAGAGTGTCGGCAAAGGGGCTGGGGAAGCACTCCCCCCCATGCTTACAAATATTCTTTTTTTAATTGAGAAAACCAGATCAAACTTTTAATTTTAATTAAAAGTATCTATTGAAAATAAATGCCCTCAAGGAAGCACAAACCCAGGGTTTATGCCACACAGGATGAACTGATGCTGGGTGCCAGCCAAAATTTCATGTGCTCATATTTTTATCAGGATCATTATTGTTTCTGTTACTGCTTTCTTTTCAAGGCTACATGGGGTTTGATTCTTCTGTCTCAACTCCATTTCTTCTATAAGACTACGTCTCTTTTGGTTTTGCAGAAATTAATATATCAGGTTATTATAAAAAATGCCCACACTGCCCAATTAGTTTTTGGAATATGTTCTTGGGAATGAATTACAGGATCAAAGGGCGTTTTGAAAGGTTTTTGGTTTTTTAAAAAATACATATTTCCAAATTGCCCACTGTAGTAGTTACCAGTGCTGTTCATCAAGTAGTTCATACTCCCTCCCTTCGGGACACATAGAAAGATTGCACTTTCTGGCCTGTCAAGCTTGGATGGAGCCATCTGCCTAGTTCTGGCCCGTGAGTTGTGAAAGAAGGGTCTTCTGTCATTTCTAATCTCGAGCATCTGTTAATGCAAGACTTTCTAGGGCAGCACTTTCCAACAGAACTTTCTGTGAGAATAGAAATGTTCCATATCTGCATTGTCCAATATGGTAGCCACTAACCATATGTATCTACTGAGTGCTTGAAAAGTGGCTGGGGAAATGAAATGTTAAAATATTGACTAATTTAAATAGCCATATGTAGCTAGTAGCTCTGTAGTGCACAGCTCTAGAGCCTTTTTTACCCTCCATACATACAACGATGGCAATATTCCATATAGTGGATGTTCCAGCAGCTTCGGTCCTAAAGTGAGAATGGCATGGAACAGCCATTATGGACCTATAGCCTGAATAAGCCTTGGTTTGAGGCCGCTGACGTTTTTGAGGGTCTTTGCCACCACAACACAACTTAGCCTAACCTGAATGATACACCAATCGCAACTCTACTTCGCATATGAGAAGCTATCCTATTGCTCACAGTAGCATAGAGAAATTTTTCAAAGGATTTTTTCATAGTCATGGCTTTTTTTTTTTTAATCGTTTCTAGCTTTGATGTCCTTCTTAAGCCCAATATTAAGGAAATACTTACCTACAATTTTTTCCATTTTTTTTTTTTACATCCTCAATCTACGAGGATGAGTGTGAGGATGGAAAACAGCTTTATTTTTTCTAAAATATCCAGGCATCATCATTTATTGACTCAACTACCTCTTTCTCACTAACATTCCACTTTTATTATAAAAACTCGATATATTTGGGAATACCTGACTTCCTTATATTTTTCTGCCTATTTTCTCATGAGTATCACTGCTTTAATTACTGTGGCTTTGTAATACTTCTTAACATCTCCTCAGGGAAATTCCTACTCGTCATTCTTTCACAGAATTTTCCTGGCTAAGTTTGAACACTTAACAAGGATGAACTGTTTATGAACTGTTTTACAGGTTTATAAACTATGAACTTTGACACGGTCTAAAATAAAATAGATCATATTGGGTTAATGCACAATTCATGGATTTTTTAATTCATTCACTTTCTGCTTTCTGTTTTTAAAAGGGCTTCATTTTTTTTCTGATGAGAGTTAAATACTCAAACTTAATTTCATAAAGGTTAAATAATGAAAATGTTTTCCTCTGTGTAGTGTTGACCATATCAAATAGGTTTTGATTTGTTATTATATTCTCATTATTTTCTAAATATTTGTGTAGGTGAAATTTGATTTCAGCTAAGAACTATTTACAAATATTTTGAATTCCTAAAAAATGTGGGTGGTGTTGTTTCCAAATGTTTCACTAATTTCTAGATTTATGATGATCTAGATGATGAACGTCAACCATTAGATCACTTCCACTTGTTGTAATGAGGTTTTCTCTTATAACTTAATATATGTCCAATTTTAATAAATACTTGGACGTATAGAGATTGACTTTATACTACTCAGACTTTCTACATCTTAATTTTGTCTATTTGATCTATTAAGGATTGAGAAAATTTTGCTAAAAAAATCTTATTTTTATTGTTTCACAATTTCTCCTTTTATTTTTGAAAGTTTCAACTTTGTAGCAGTTATGTAGCCTAAAGGCTCATAATAGTCCTAGCTTCATGAATGATTATAGACATCTTTATCTAGTCCCTCTATTCATCTTGGCTTTTTCCTTCGACTTAACTCACAGACTTTACCTTAGCTAGAAATTAAAGTGCGAAAAAGTTCTAAACAGCATTCATTAATCTTTCTTTTACCTTCTATTCGTATAAAGACGCAAATTTAAGTGTTACTTATTAAATAACATGTTGAAAGCAGAGGCTTTCTTTACAAGGCTGGCTATGGGTTCTCACCAAGATCTTAAATTCCCTGAGGATGTCAGTATTTATATTAGAGTGAGAAGAATGAGTTGGGGCAGGCCAATGGGCAAGAAGCAGAAGGCCTTTATTAGCACCCCATTTTCCTACTTCTACCCCCGTTTCTTCTTCTACCAGTTTCCCCAATCTTGTCACTAAATGAATTCCTTTATAAAACCTTATTAATACTTTGTTTTCTAGTCCCAGATCTTTTACCACATAAAAATCCCAATCCAGGTTAGAAATAGTTCCTAAAATTATCTTCAGTTAAAGTAGATATTAATAAAAATGCAATAATTTATATTGTGGGTATGGCAACGGAGAGGGCTGGAGGCTGAGTGAAAGAGAGACAGGAAAGGAAGGATATTGTTTATTGTATACTTTTGATACATAGTTTTTGATTTTTGAAGTATGTAAACTTATTATCTATTGAAATATGTAAAAATTAGAAATTTAAAAATTTCATAAAGTTTTAAAAAATTTGAATACTACTGGGGAGCCTGGGTGGCTCAGTCAGTTAAGCGTCTGCCTTCACCTCAGGTCATGATCCCAGGGTCCTGGGATCCAGCCCCCAGGGAGTCTGCTTCTCCCTCTCCCCGCCTTGTGCTCTCTCTTGCTCTCTCTCTCTCAAATAAATAAAAATCTTAAAAAATAATAATAATAAAAATTCGAATACTACTTACCAGTCATATTTTCATCCAGTGGTAGAGAGACTCCTACATCACAGATTTTAATTGTTTCAAAATCACCTTTAATTACAACATTTGAAGACTTTATGTCTCCATGAAGCAGTTTCTTTTCTTGGTGTAGATACTAAAATAGTGGAAAATTTAACACATCTGAGCAAATACATAAACTGATAAAAATATATGATAACCTCCAAACACAAAAAAACAACTTGAACTCCCTTCCTGAACTCCATGCAGGATGATATCTGTCCATCATTTCAGATTATTTGAAGTCAGACAAGGGAATATCCCATATTACTCCAGTCTGCCATACTGACCAGACATAAAGAGTCTTTGGAAATCAATGTCTGTTTATAGATAAGCTAACTTTTCAAACGCATCTCATACTTTTATAGCAAAAGAGGATACTGCAGCTTTAAAAATATATCACAATTTTACTTGAGACTAGTAGGTTTTAGAAATAAGTTTGGAACCTTCACAATGAGGCACACTTTTCACAAACAAGTTGTTGAGATAACACAGAACAACAGATAATTAAGGGCAAAAGTTACACGAGAAGAGGAAGCAGAAATGTCATCTAAGACTAATACTTTATTTTATACATTAACTCTTAGTAATGATACTCATCCATAATCAGAAATAATCCTGAAAAACTGTTATTTTTTCATTCATCAGCATCTACTCTGTGAGCTGCTTGAAAATAGTGCAGAGACCATTTTTGGTATATACTTTCGAACACTTACTGTGCTTCATTTAAATGCTGATCATAAATTGAGCATGCTCAAATATGTTTATAGTGAAATTTATTAATTCCACCATCCATATATATTTAAAGTCATTATTTATTAAATAATTCAAATTATTAATTTAGCTTCTCCTATCCATTTAAAATCAGTTTTTCTACATACATATTAAAATATATATTTAGAAATATTGCTTTTATGCAGTTTTATATTTCATAAGTCAATTTTATGTCAACTCTTAACATGCAACTTTGACATCAGCATCAATACATGATCCACTTCGGCGTCATCCAACAGTGTTCTGGAGCCACCATTTCTCCTGCTTGGTTACCTAGGATAAGGAATCCTTTTTCTTCCTTACACTGTATCTATTCAAAGGCACAACAACTTATTTGACAACACTAAAAGAGCTTTTTTCTTCATTTGACCTATAGATGTATATTGATATCCAAAACTTAACATCTCACAAAGCAATCTTCAAGAGGTTTGTTTACATCAACAGAGGATTAGGCTACACTCCCAGGAATAATTACTAAATTTGTGTTAAATTGATTAATCCTTTTAACTAAATCCAACATATGATCTGTATAAACAAAACTACCTGACTTGGTTTATTTCAGGCTATGTAAAGACCTCAAACAATACTCTGCTGACCAAGATAAGGAAAGAGTGCATTCTGCAATATGAGAGAGTCTATAAAGACTTTAACTTGGGGCAACTACTTCTTTTGGGGGGGAAAAAAAATCCCACCTTGGAATTAGGTATATAAAGTAGTTCTTTCTTGTTCCACAAAAATCATTTAAAATATAATGGCAAGGTTACCTTTAACCCTCTCGCCATGTTCAAAGCAACTTTTAAAATTATGGCTGCTGGAAAAGGATCCTGGTTGTCTTTATATCGTTCTTCTATTAAGTCATTTAGAGACTTTTCCCCTCCATATTCCATAGCAAGACACAGACTACCATCACTGGCTTCAGTGAAAGCACGATAACCT